TGTTGCCTTATCGACATTTCAATTAGCTACAATTTTCAGCCCTGAGCGGCTGTCAGGCAGTTCTCGATACTACTCGATGCCGGGGCGCGCGCACTAACGATACTCGATAGACACGATCCACGACTAAATGTATAGATCGATAGTCGGCCTGTCAAAATCTCTTGGCATCTATCTATTTGGTGTCTTTTAGTTAACGGGTGCGCTTAGCTGGGCTAAATATCAAATGCAGCATGTGGCATGCCGCAGACTCGCGTTTTCATATGCAGATTGTGTGGCACAGCCAAATGCCAATGCGCTCCTCCAGACGACAAGAGAGACGTGCACATATGAGTCTCAGGTTTCACCAGCTGCAAGTGGCAGTTGCAAGCGGCAACTAGCCGCAGTTGTTGCATTTTGAGCTACTGTTCGCAGGCGCTATTCAAAAGTCTATCGGCTGTCCAATTAAAACGTTTTTAGCCTTTAATTAGTTTGATAAAACGTTCAATGTGTGACATTATTGAGTTGAGAACCTGAGAGAGGGGTTGGGTTACCTGAAATACTAGAAATATCGGTCAGGGAAAAAAACATCAAATGCATTTTATTTGCAAGAACAATATTTTTAAACTAAACTTCTCAATGAACTCATAAAATAAATGAAAGTATATTCTTTCAAATCAAGAATAGAATTCTCAGTTAAAATATATTAAATAAAATACCTGAGAATATACATACATATATCTAAATTTAATTTATAATAAGCTTCCCAGTCAGGGCAAAAAATTATGAAATGAATTCAGGTAAAGAATTAACTTCTCATTCAGGGACAAGAAACTGCAAATTATATTAAATAATTTACCTGAGAAGATATGTGAATTAAATTTAAAATAAACTTCTCAGTCAGGGACAACATTTTTTAATATATTAAATAAAATAAACGTGCATATAAATTTAATTTAGCATAAACTTCTCAATCAGAGTTAAAAATTCTAAAATAAATTTAGGTAAACACTTTTTATACATAAATCAAATCGAGAATTAGCTTCTCAGTCAGGGGCAAAAAGATATCAAATAAATTCAAGTGAATTCTTTTTAAGTCAAGAATAAACTTTCTAGTCAGTGCAAAAAATTTGCAAATAAATTTGGTTAATACTTGTGGCAAATAAATTAAATGTAGAATACATTTCTATAACTTGTTTAATATCATAATTTGGCCAACAAATTGTTTAACAGCTTCCAGGTAGAATATTTTGTCCGACAATCTCTTTCAACCTCTCTCTCTCTCTCTATCTCTCTCTCTCTCTATCTCGGTTACTTTGTCACATTTTGGGTTTGTTTATTGCTCATTTAGCTAAATTAGTTAAGCACTGCATATTTAGCTTTAGCCCGGGCTACTTTCGCGCTGTCTGATGATTTATTTTAATGAGCCACTCGAGTGAGTTTAATTATAAGCAAAGTGAATAATTTTGCGAGTGTTTAGCCGCCGCCTGAATACTGTTCGTTATTCGGTGTTCGTTTGTTTGTTTGTCAAGTAACGTGTTAAATGCATTTAATTTCGCCAGCGCCAGCGCCAGTGACATATAAATTAGCAGCTTGTCTCAACCTTGAGCGTCTAAATTCTATGCAATTAAATGAATTACACACAAAAACAAACAGAACTCTCCAGAGCGCGCGCGGCGGGACAAGAGAAGCCGCAGGCAAACATTCGTCGATCAGTTGGCGCAATTAATAAACTAAATTCAAAATTACATCGAGCTAAAACATAAATTATAAGGCTAACATATGTCTGGAATCCATTTGGCCCACACCCCCTGCCCCCGTCGATTGGCTGCCAATTGCAATCACGACTGGAAAAGTCGCGCGTTATGAAAACTTTTTTTTTTTTAGTTTAGCTGTGTTGTGTTGTGTTAAAATCATAGCTCTCGGTGGACAAATGCGGCATGATGGCTCCAGGGGACAGCACAGCAATTACCATGCAACGAACAGCAACAAATGCAGGAGGACTGAGAGGGGGGAAGAGTGGGTCACAGTGGACAGCACACACACAGAAAATATGCATGTGCCAAAGCCATGCAATTGGCCAGACAGAGACAGATGCGTGTGGGCCACACGCTGACCCCACGGAACTCTGCCGTGATATATGTGACAGCTTTGACACCGGCCAACAAATAACCACAGCAGCAGCCCCAAACCCCCAAAGAAACATCGTGTAAGACAAGATATTGGCTTCAAATACGAACAGGTTTCGCTTTTTTCCATCTCCATCTGCCGATCCAAAGAGCTCTCTTTTCCAAACACGAACACAAACTGACAAAATATCAATATGTGCATGTTAAGTTGCCTAAAGATTATGTTAATGTCCGGTTTCATTGAGGAAAAAGCCAAGTTGAGGGCATTTCATTCAACCGGAGCGATATTGACGCAAGCAGTTAACAGTTGGCGGCCTCTAGAATACACTGAATGTAAAACAAAAAAAAAACAATACTAAAATGTATTGAATGCCCATAGATACCGATTAGAAACTCAATAAATCAGCGATATATCGAAAGAGAGGGGCGAGAGAATCGACTGAATCGAGTGAATATATAAGGCATAATTTGCCTAAATTAGAAAATCGGTAACAAAAATCAATGATGCTGAAAATTTTCATAATAATAGCGTTAATAGGCATCATAACAACGATACATCCAAATGACCAAACAATGGAACCATTGTGCGCACAGCCATGCCTCAAAGATCCAACTAATGGAAAACAAATTGTTAAATGAAATTGATACAGCTGCTAGTTGTGGGTTGTTTATACCTGGAATAAGTGTGCACACACTACTAAAGTCCACTAAAAATGATAAAACTGAATGAGCTGAATGACCAGCAATGGGCGAATACTTTGAACAGCGACTGTCTGGCTTATAATAATAGAAATTAAACGATATTTATATACACATCACATAAATTCGTTTACTTTATTGATGTTAACCGCATCTCTAAAGCTTGTATTGAATTTTAGGAATAAATTTGTTGGTGGTAGAAATGATAGAAATGAAGAATTAAAATGTATGCACGAATATTTTGGGAAACTAAACTAAGTACATGTTCATAAGTGTATGATACAGATGTATATCATATGATATGGTATCAGTTCCAGAATTAACCTAGACCAAAGTGGTCTTAAATTGATAACATATATATATTATTTAGCAGTTCCCACAAAACTTTTCCTATCTTAAGCAAAAACATTTTTATTTTTATGAGTTATACATCATTTAATTTTATTATTCTTTACATAATTCTATTTTTGTGGACCTCCATTACTCAACTTCTTTTATTCTTGGCATACATAATTTCTAGGTCTCATTTAGAGAGTTATTCAACATACATATGTATATACCATATTTATTCTACTTTGCATTCGCATACACACACACACATATTTACACAGGCGCACACGCTGTCACAGCTACCAAAATGGCGCATCCCAATTGAAATGTTTTGCCTATTCTCATAACTGTAGTTCAGCTAAGCGCAATTGTCTTCCTATGTACAGTGCCCACTCACACCAACGCTCGTAGATATATAAGCACGTCAGTGTGTGCGTGAGTATGTGTATTGTATCTATTTCTCTCTGTTTGTCGCCGCGACATGCGCACTTCACGCAGCGCTGGCCGCTGAGCGCAGTTAAGCACCATTTAACAGCCGCCGTCGCAGCGACGCCATATTGAGCTGCGACATAAAGCGACCCCCCCCCCCCCCTGGTTAGACAACCGCGCTCCAGGTCTACCCCTCCCCGCATACAGCTGTCGTTGTGGCTGTCGCCCAACCAGCGGGCAGCAGAAAGCTTTCTGCAAGCGCAGCAAATCAAAACACATTTCATAGTTAGAAAACAGCAACACACACTTGTATATACATACGTACATACATATATACACATATGCATACATACATACATAAGCATATGCACATGTGTGTAGCAAAAAAAAAAGACAAAAGTATCAACATTTTTGTTGTTGTTTTGTTTGTTTTCTGCCTCATCAGCCCCTCGATAACAACAAAAACAAAAGCATTGCGATAAAAGCTGCTCACTGCTGCTGCTGCCGCTGCCGTTACTCTCCCTCTCTTTGCTCTTACTCTTGTTGTGCATACATATGTATGTATATTTATTTGTTGTTGCTTTTTGCTACTCTTACATAGTTGAAGCGCTCGCTGTGACTCGCGCTGAACGCCAGATAGCCCGCCCGCCCGTTCTCCCCACACTCGTCCACAAATCGCCCTCATTTGCCAAGACGCCATTTGCCAAAGCATTTGTTATTGTTGGGGGCTACTCTCTGTCTCTGCCTCTGGCTCTGCCGCTGCCCCTGTCTCTGCCGTTCTGCTCATGTGCGCATGACGAATGACCGCAATTTGCGACAGTTTTTTTTCTATTTCTTTTTTTTTGCTGCTGTTTTTAACTATTTTTTTAGTTTACATATCTTTGACTGATGTTATTGAGTATTTATTGTTGACTGCCTAGATATATATAGAGTCGAATGTACATATTGATGTTTTGTCATTATTGGCTGCATATAAAAGTTTCCATTTTCCATTGGGCTTGCTTTGATATTGTAATGATTTGATTTTTCCAATGTCCATTTTGAGTTGAATTGAAGTGGAAATAAATTTTAAGTCTAATATGTTTATTGCAGGGGCAATTGTTGATGTTATTAATGCGAATAGATTTGTTAAAAGAGGCTAAGTTCATGACTGTTGTTTGCAAGGATCTACAAAGTATTTAAAAAGTGTATATACATTAATTTAAATTACATTCATAATATATTTAGAATTAAAAAATTATATGCTATAAGGGCAGGAACTTCAAGGAATATACTTAGTAGAATATAGAAAGCAATTAAAATAAGTTGACTCGGGAAAAACATTTCAACAATAATCGAAATATATTAATATATTATAGTACAAAATTATATTACAATAAAAGGCAACTATTTCGACTGACAAATAATTAAAACAATCAAACTTTCTTTTTTTTACAGGAAGCAACTTAATTGAGAGTCTATCGGAAGCCCCATTTATGTGAGTAAGGCAACGATTTACATTTCCTTTTTTATTTTATTTACTTTTTTTTGTGATTCCCAACATTTGCATAAAAACCTTCGCACAGCTATTGCATTGCACTAGCAGGACGATATTGAATATCCTTTGCAGCGCAAAGACAAACAGAAGGAAGCATATTAAAACATAATTTAATGGCAAAGGCTATGGAAATTTTCTCACAATTTCACGCTGAGCAATCATAACGCAACGACACACACACACACACACGTGCGCACACACACTCACTTTTTAGGGTGTCCACTGAAGCTATTAAATGCCAATTCCCAATTTCTACGTGCGGGGGTGACAATGTGCCGCAGCGCGAGGGGCGCTGTGACAGGAAATGTGAGCAGCCCAGGGAATTGAGGGCATTCTGGAAGCTAGGCATAAAACCAATTTCCGATCAAGCGAAAGGGCAGCGATGCAGTGAGGCCGAACGGGCAAAGGGAGGGGAGGAGCAAGTAGTAAAGGGCTACGCATGCGCAACACGTTGCTGTTGCAGTTGCAAGCTTGCAAATGCAGCGCTGATCAATAAAATTTGAAGTGAAAACTGTTGAATAATGCGGCAACAAACGGCGGTCACCCTGCTCAGCGCGTGAGGGGGAAGGAGGGGGGACTGAGCTGAGGCACAGGATTTGCGGGCAATTAATTTGTGTGTAGTACAAGCAACAGGAAACAAAATACCAAGCCACGCATGCAGCCCCGAAAAGTGGAGAGGGGCGCTCTTAAAGTTCAACGGCCAAACACATTGAGCCCAAGTCAAGTCAGCCGAACCGACGCTCAGCCGGCCGCAAGTCATTCACGCTCGGCGCTGGCAGCATTCTTATTGACAGGGCCTATTAGTGGGTCAATTGGCAAAAAGATTTCGGCGCTTATTTTTAGGCCAAGTGCGCGCCGCTGCGTTGCCCCGTGAGCTTTACTTTTCATTTTTATTTTATTTACCTTTTATTTCTTTATTTATTTTTTTTTTGCATACTCTGGCAATTAGCGTAAATGATCGATCAAATATAGCTGCGTCCATGGCAGCAACAACAAATGAGCCTCATTAATTGGTGATAAAAGTTAAATAAGCAAATAATAAAATCTCAGGTAATTTTAGGCCGACATCACCAGGCCAGGCCAGCATGTGTGCTCACTGTGAGTGTGTGAGTAAGTGTGTGTGCGTGTGTGTGTCACCATTTGTGTGTGTTTGTGTATGTAAACTCGTATTGGTAGACTTCTTGACGTTGGCTAAGCTTAACTTGCAATGCCTTGTAAAATGCAACACCTTGTGACAAATAAATTAAAAAAAAAAAAAATATTCAATCATTTTGTAAGCAAACATACAGTGATCACTCGCAAATAAGAACTCTTGTGCACCAGAGCTGTTATATATTATTTTAGAGAGCTGTTTTATATATTTCTCAACATTTTTCAAGTTCTGGCAGCCTTTCTTTTATTCAACAAATGAAGTCAAATTTTTGACAGCTTGAATTTGCCAGCGACTCAAACTGACAAACTGGACTATTAAAAAGTAGCTCATAAATAAATTAAAACTTTTGAAAATTGAACAACTCCATAAAATTGAAAAATGTGCACTTAATATGCAATTAAATTGAATCCCAACATTAAACATTTCGTGATTTTTAACAAGTATTTCAAATCCAAACTGGAATGAAAGCTTGCGCATTGTGCAAATAAACCTAATTGATTTGCTATTGGCTTAATTTGTAAATTAATTTTGCAACTTGAGTTTTGGCAGCTCGCTTTTTTTTGTTTGTTTAAACTTTTGAGTGGCTTTAACGAGCTGCTGCTGATGGCTTTATCAACGGCCCATGATCAACGCTAAATGTCGGCCGTTTCATGTTTCTCTTTTCCATTTCTCACCTTTAAAATTTGTTGTTTATTATTGATGTTTTTTTTACTGTTGGAAATTGTTGACAGCATCTGAAATTTACAGCGCCTACATTTGACATCGCGGGGTCGCCATAAGCTGGTCAACTATTTGAAGATTTTATGGCGATTTGATTTCATAATCAAATAATTGATCTTAATGCGCCTTCAAATGATCGCCGAGCCGCAAACATAATTTTTGCTAGCTGCTTTTTTTAAATGTATTTCTTTATTTTGAAAACTGAAAACGTGTCTGTCAGCTGCTCGCAGCTTTAGATCCAATCAAACCTGAAACGAATTGCGCTTCAATGCTGAAAAATTAATCACAACCAAAAAAAAACAATAACAAAAAGGAAATATCGCATATTGAGCATAAGCTTTGAATAGATTTTTGTTGTTGTTGTTGCCTTGTTTTGGCACCTCGCAGGAAATTTCAGTCTGCACAAACTCGTTTCCGCAATCATTCGTCGAATTTCGATCGCACACAATCCATCAAAAATTTGGGTATCCATGAGTTTTAGGGACTGTGCGCCAAAGAAATGCGGATTAGATGGGCTCAGATATTGGGACAGCAATTATAGCTCAGCTCACACGTGCCATTGCGGCACTGTGCCTTGATGGCTCAAGAATTTAGGAATTGCTTTTGCAATCAATCAGAAATGGACATTATTTCGATAACATTTGGAAAGCTTAATAAATAAAAGGATAAGTCTGAAAGCATTCATAGAACATTGTTGATTTGGGCTCGGTTTGGATGAGATTCAAAATTCGAGAAGTCTTTGGACTGGATGCAACTTATATATTCTACTAAAAGCCCTCTCTTCTTAATCTACTTTCGATTTCCTTTAACTCCCATATAAAATGAAAAAAATAATAAAGTTCTCGTGTGTTTTCGGGGCTTCTTCTGATATATTATTTGTTGCTATTTCTTCCTGCTTCTTAAATATTTAAATGCACAACTTTTCACAAGCTTATTCACAACTTTTAACTATTCAATAATCAAGTTAGAAAACTTCCAACCACTGTGCCGCCTTGTACATCCGTCGTCATATACCAAATTCTTGAAAACCCGCCACAGAATGTGGACACAGCATCTTCATCCTTCGCTTCGCGGTTGTGTCACGCAGTGAGTTGAGAGTGATTGATTCTCGTTGCCATTTTTCGCTTGGCCAAATGGCAGAAGAAGAGAAAGAAACCCAAATGGAATAGCCAACTTGACCTCCAGCCCGTCTATGCGGCATATCAATCAAATGTGGCCAAAATGAATTTCAAGATTTTGTGCCGTGTGCCAATTGCCAATTGCCATTTGCCGATTGCAGTTTTCGTTTTCGTTTTCATTGGCATGAATTGGCGAAAAACAAAATATGGAGACCCCCATAAATTGGCATTATGATCGGTAATACTTGTAGATACTCGTCTATAGATTTGCATAGAATTGAAGCGATGCCAATCGGAGAGCTCCCACTGTGCGCAGCGGCTTTTTAATGAGATTTTGTTGTCGTTGTTGTTGTTGTTGTTGTTAGGCATAAGTAGTTGTTGTTATAGTTTTTGGCCCAGTTTACTTATTATTATTATTTAACATTGATCGCTTGGGCCGTTTGTAATTGGCATTTGGATTTGGCCAGCGATTTGACCCACTCTTGAACTCGTTTCGCAACATCAACGAAATGGAAAGTGTCTGCCAAAAGGCATCCCAAATAGAAAACGAATTCGAATACCCTTGCCAATAATGTTTCACATGCCGGAAATTGGTTATCTTATCTGGGCACTTTGGCCTGGCCTTTGTATTGCTCCTATTCTGCTTTTATTTTATTTTTGCTACAATTTTATGGCCTAAATGATGTATCGTATCTATGTATCTTTGGGTATTGTGTATCTGCAAGATATCAAAATGCAATTCTTGTTAGCCGCTTTGAAGGCGGCCGCCTTTGTATTTGGATTTTTTTTCGAATGCAAATATGTTTTATTGATACGAGAAATTTTATATACTCGAACCTGAATGTTTTTATTTTATTTTGGAGAATTGACAAATTGGCTTCGGCTTCGGCTGCGAATCGTAAAATGTGTTTTGTTGCATTTTATGTACAATTTGCATAACCGTTGACAGCCACGCCCCGTCAACGTTTGCTACGCCATCTAATGCGCCCGGCAACATGACGTATGAGTAATCTGATTTTTATCTATATTTAATTATTTGCGCATATGTGATTGAAGCACAATGGCCAGGGCCATTAATCAGTGCACCAGAGACCGGACACCGCAGACCGGAGACCGTAGACCGTAGACCGGAGACTGTAGACCCCAAGCCAGGTGCCCATATGCTCGATTAGCTCAATTATTCATGCAGTTAGAGTCTGGCCGGGTCGTGGTAAGTCATGCCACATCCAAAGCTGGCCATATCTGGCCTATTAGCTGGCCAAATTCCTTGTAAGAAATCATAAACTAATTTTTGTGTTAAATGCCATAAAATATGAAAGTTTTCGTCATAATCGATGCGCGTGTCTGTGTGAGGCGTGGGAATTACCCTTTTGTTAAATCAGTGAAAACGGAAGAACAGGCCTCCCCCCCCACTACTTTACGGCCCCCTCTCCATACCCTTAGCGCCCCACGAGCTCGTCTTTGCTATCAGCCATGAAGAGCCGTCGACATCGCTTTGTACTTTTGCGACCGTGTGTAAATATTTGACAACACATGCCTAATTAGTGCAGCTATTGATGGTGACAGCGGAACAACACCAACAACAACAGCAACAACAACAACATGAACAACACTTGTCGAACAAGGGGGGAAAGGGGAAACGGGACTGGAAGTGGATATGGAATGGAACGGAAAGACTGAGTGCGAGCTCTTTTACGATGTCGTTTCCTGAGAATTGCCTCAGTCACAGATTGACTGACTGACTGATTGACTGATTGACTAGTTGGTTTTCTTATCTCTAGCACTACGCGAGGGTCTTGAAAGGGTTCTTTCTTTGTGGCTGTTGTTGGTTTTGTTGAGTAAGGCAATAGTTGAAGCGATTGTCTGCGAAATGCTTATCAATGGGTAACACGAGTAGACTTGTAGGCAAACTATTCGACATTGGTTTGACAGGTGTTCAATCAATTAATCAGGGAAAGTGAAAAGAACTGCATGAATGAATATACAAATAATAGATAAGCAGTTGTATTTAGAAATCAAGGTATAATTTAAAGGAAAGCTAGTTAATGCGTTGATAAATAAAATAAATAGTGATAAATCTATCCTTAAATAGAAAGATAGATGGAAATGAATGGATGGATAGATAGATAGATATACATAGATAGATAGATAGATAGATAGAAAGAATGAGAGACAGATCAATATATGAATAGATAGATAGATAGATGCATCCACAAAATATAAAGATAGATAGAAAGGACAGATAGAAAGATATATGGATTGATACTTATATAGATATGACTGATATATAGATGAAAAATGGTGTAATACATACACAAACTAACATAAATATCGAAAAGACAGATTCATAAATATGAAAATATATATTTATATAGAAAGCAAAAATATAGATCGATGGATAGATATATACATAGGTAGATAGATAGATAGAGACATACATGGATAAATATATCGAAAGGATAGATGTGCAGATATATAGATAGATACATAGAGACATAGATCAATGGTTAAATACATAGGTAGAAAGATAGTTGGATGGATAGATAGATTGAAAGATCGATGAAAAACTATAGATACATAAATGACGATACATAGATAGATGGGTAGATATAGAATGCTCATGACATACAGGACATTTAACTTCCTATTAGAATATTACACGAAACAAACTGGATTTTTTCTTTAAGCTGTAACAAGTTTACCCCTTAAATGCGATCTTACAAAGAGTTTTCATATTAGAACTTATATCTTCGCATGAAAAGCTGTAATTCTATTTACT